GGTCCCGGTCTGGTACGGGCACAACACTGAGGGTTGTGATCCGTTGCCGGACACGAAAAAAGACAAAAAGGAAAAAAAAAAAAAGAAAACTTCCCAAATTTGAGGAAAATAATTTATACACCCAAGAAGCTAAATAAACTCCAAGTAGGATAAATTCAAAAGATTCACACACAGACACATCATAGTAAAGATGCTGAAAGACAAAGAGAGAGAAGCTTGAAAGCAATGATTCCTCTTATACCAGTGGTCCTCAATAAGATTAACAGCTGATTTGTCATCAGAAACCATGGAAGTCAGAAGTCAGTGAATGACTTAATTAAAGTGCTGAAAGAAGCTCACGATCAACAAAGAATTATGTATTCAACAAAATGAAAATGAAGACATACCATTATTTTTTAAAAACTGGAAGAATTTATTGCTAGCCAAACTTCCTTACAAAAAATACTAAAGGAAATCCTTCAGACTGAAATGAATGGACACTAGTAAGTAACTCAAATCCACATGAAGAAATAGAGCACTGGTAAAGGTAACCACATAGGTAAATATAAAAGGCAGCATAAGTATATCTTTTGTTTATAACTTTTTTTCTCCTATCTGATTTAAAAAGAATGCATAAAGCAATAATCATAAATTTGTGTTGATGGACACACAATGTATAAAGATATAATTTGTATGACAATACTAGCACAGATGAGCAGGGGAGGAAACAAAGCTAATAGTAGCAAAGTTTTGTATACTATTGAAATTAAGTTGACGTTTATATAAATTGCTCAGCATAGGTAAATACATAGAGACAGAATGTCAATTAGTGGTGGCATGGGACTGGAGGTGGGCACGGGTAGTGACTACAAACTGGCATGAGTTCTATTTGGGGTGATGAAAATCTTCTAAAATTACACTATGGTGATGGTTGCATGCTTCCATAAATTTATTAAAAATTGCATACTTTGAATGAGGGAATTTTATTGCATATAAATTATACTTTAAGCTATTAAAATATAAATATAATGATATAAGTATTATATGTTAATAATAATAGCTACCATTTATTGAATGTTCGCTACATGCTAGGCACTGTGCCAAATGCTTTATATACATTATATCATTTAATTTACTTTAATCCTCATGATAGGCACAATTAAATTAAATTGTGCCTGTTTAAGAGATATGGAAACTGAGTTCAAAGGAGGCAAAAGAATATAAAAGTTAAAAAGTGCAGGCTTTTACATAACAGGATGCTCAGCACCACTGATCATTAGAGAAATGCAAATCAAAACCACAGTGAGCTACCATCTCATACTCATTAGGATGGCTACCATAAAAAGAAAGAAAGAAAGAAAGAAAACAAAATAACTAGTGTTGGCAAGGATGTAGAGAAATTGGGACCCTTGTACATTGTTGGTGGGAATGTAAAAATGGTGCATTGGCTGTGGAAAACAGTAGGGAGGTTCCTTAAAAAATTTAAAATAGAACTATCGTATGATTCAGCAATCCCACTTCTGGGTATATATATCTATAAGAACTGAAAACAGTGTCTTGAAGAGATATTTGCACACCCATATTTATTGCAGCATTATTTACAATAGCCAAGAGGTGGAAACATCCTAAATGTTCATTCACAGATAAATACATAAAAAAAAATGTGATATATACATACAATGGAACATTTTTCCATTAAAAACATTATTCCTTAAAAAAGGAAATCCTGTCATATGATACAACGTGGATGAACCTTGAGGACATTATGCTAAGTGAAATAAGCCAGGCACAGAAAAACAAACACCACATGATTCCTTACATGTGGTATCTAAAGTAGTCAAATTCCTAGAAACAGAAAGTGAAAGGGTGGTTGCCAGGTGCTGGGGGAGGGGAAAATGGGAATTGTTCAATGAGTGTAGAGTTTACATTTTGCAAGGTAAGTTCTAGAGATCTGTTATGCAACAATGTGCTTATAGTTAACAATATTGTACTGTACAGTTAAAAATGGTTAAGAGGATGAATTTCATGTTATATGTTTTAGACGCAATAAAAAATAAAATAATATGAGTGTGTGGGCAAGAAAACATTGTACTGTTGCAGTTATGTGCACTTAATGACTGGCCTGAGCTGCATGGATCAGTAGGTTTCCACATGCCTTCCTTTTCTATATCTTTCCCACTCACCTTATGTTTGCATAGATAATGAAAGAAAGAAAAAAGGAAAGAAACAACAATCACAGTAACACGTTGAACTTTCAAAAGGAGGGAACAGAACTGTGGTTATGAGTGGTGGGAAGGGGGAAGAGGGAAGGGGGAGGGGAAAAAATAGATCAAAATGCATTTTAAAATAAGTATAACACTGGGAAATTTTATTTCTTCTCCTTATTTTCTGCCTTCATTTATCCCGCCTTCTCATGGCATTCTCCCTTCTTGGAAATGACCCGGGACACCTGACTTCTGAATGTAAATAGTCCAGGAAGCACCTCTCCGGCTTATCTTATGTTTCCTTACGCATTTTAAATGTCTTGTCTTTGCTTCGTTCTGGGCGTCTGCGTCTCTGAAGTCCCTGCGGGTGAGCGTGTGTGTGTCTGGTTCACGTGCAGGGGAACTTCAGACGCGCCGGCAGCAGAACCCCGGTGTCGCGGCGGGAGCTGCTGACCGTGCTGTCCAGACTGGACGGTTTGCGCGTGCGCGGCCTGCGCTTCACCGAGACGCAGCGGCTCAGCCTGGGCGACGTGGGGCTGGAGGAGGCCTCGGACGCCGGAAGTGGACGTCTAGCACATCACGTCGAGCTGTGCGCCTGCCCGCCTCACTACACTGGTGACTCGTGTCAGGTAGGAAAGTCCCCGCAGGGAACTTCTGCAGCTGTCCAGCACTGCCAGGTGGCTCGGGGTGCTCTGTCCGTGGCACCACGTTCTGCTGGGGCTCAGCTTAGGCCTCACCTAGACCGCCTTCGGGAATGAAGTGTGAAAAAGACGTCAGCGATGTCTGGACCTTCGCAGGAAAGCCGCGCGGGCTCTAGCTGCTGGGGTCGTAGAAATCAGAAGTAGGGAGTCCTCCCGTGGCCGTCTCAGTGTTGGAGCCACCGCCTTCCCGAGAGCTGACCCGGGTGCTTGGGCCTTTCTCTACTCCAGGGCCTCCCTCCAACCACCCCCAGCCCTCAGGAGAATTGAATTCCAGAGAACATACTGATTCTGTGAGGGGAAATCACGTTCCGATTTTCTAGCTCACAGCACGTCATCACTGAGATCCCTCAGGAGAATTGAATTCCAGAGAACATACTGGATTCTGTGAGGGGAAATCACGTTCCGATTTTCTAGCTCACAGCACGTCATCACTGAGATCCAGTTGACCTGAGTTGTCCTCAGGTGATTAAAATGAGCCATAACATGAAACTGTTTAATACCTCAAGCTTTAAATGTGTTCTGTCCCTAAATGCGGGGTGGGGGGAGCACGATGGGAGTACAGTTAGTAGGAAATACGTCATTCCGTGTATTCCATGCACCCAGTGTACGCAGACTGAGCAAACCCCTCACTGTCTTTCCTCCTCCCGCAACAGCAGAAAACCCCGAGGTGACCCGCACATTACAGTTGCTACTTTTCAAACCTGCCCCTGTTTTCTGGGGACGCCTGTCTTGCCACATTTAGCACACAGGTTGCCCACCTCCTTCTCCCTCCCCCCTATCTTTTTCTAGCCTGATTAAGACAGATAGCCCAAGGGAAGGAGGGGAGCCTGGTTTAGCAGCCTCAGGCCCAGGGCGTGTTCTTTGAGTGACTCAGCCTGTGATTTATGGCTGCAGGGTGCGGTGGGGAGAAGGTGGCGGCTGCCCCACCTCACAGGAATTACAGAGCAGTGTGCTCACCTGCAGGACTGTTATGTGCGCCCTGGCACAGGCTGACTCATGAGTGAAGTGGAAAGGTGGGGCCCCCGCCGCAGACAGCCTTCCTCACCTGAGTCAGGCAGGCCTGGGCACTGAGCAGGAAGGCAGGTATAAGAGGAGCAGGAGGCAGCAAGGGGTCCGTGTGCAGCCAGCAGGACGCCCAGGAAGCAGGATGCCCCCCACGGTGAGGCGGGCAGCCCAGAGCTTGGGATGGCTGTGGATCTTTGGGGCAGCCCTTGGGCAGTGTCTGGGATACAACTCACAGCAGCAAAGGGTAGTATTTCCTCAGCCTCCGAGTCAAAATCATCTGCAAGCACGTTATGTGGATGTTAGACCCAGCCAGGTAACAGCCCTTTTAAATTTTGGTTTGGGATGGGGACGTGTTCCCAGCTTTGTGACATTTTAAGTTAGGGTGATTAATGAGTAAATGGGTGGGCCGGGCGAGGGGCTGATGGCCTCCCCGTCGCGTTGACTGACAGTGTTTATTACAGTACCTGACAGATTGCTCTCCTGAGCTATTAACCGCAAACCCCATAAACATCAGCCCACCTGGAAAGGCCGAGACAGTCAAGAGCTTGAATGCTTGTGGGATGTTAATATACTGTGGAACTTTCTGCCCTTTAGGGAATAACCCAAGCCTTGGGACATAAGAGTCCAAGGCCTGTGGGTTTCCAAATTCTGCTTGGAACAAAATTTACCCACAAAGTAAAACATGAGAAACAGTGAAATCCATGCTTGAGAAAAGTGACCAAAATTTGAATAATACCTAACAGGCATGCTTCAAAATTTGCCAGGCATGAAACGTAAATTCTGCTCTTTTTCTTTAAACTTCCTGGATGTTACATGTTACAAAGAAATAGATCCTATGGCTACTGAAATAGCCCTGGAAACCGGGTAGGGACACAGTTTTAATCATTTGTACTACGAAAGTTTACTGGAAAATTTAACCTGAATAGTTTTCACTTTAAAAAAGCTTAATTAGTTACAAAACCCCTTTACTGAAATAATTCATTTTTCATTTAAAAAGTAAGTCTTCAATACAATCTGAATACTTGAACTGAATGTCTTGTAAAATGTAGTTTTGCTTGCTTTATAGAGGTAAGAATCTGATTATATTTCAGTAACTGACAAATGTTCTGAGAGTCACGTGATATATAATTCTTGCAGAGCATTTTTTCTGCTTCTAATCAAAAGCAAATTAAGATGGGTGATGTAATTTTAGTAGGGATAGACTATCCTCCCCCAAAACATGTTTAATTAATCATGGCTTTTACTTAGGCATGTTCATAAACTAACCAGATCTATTTGTTTATTTGAATAATTTGTTCTTTACCAAATACAATTATTGTATAAGTGGGTAATATAATATATGGTAGTAGTTATAAGGTAGTTGCCACTTATTAGTAGAGATTGTTTGTGGATATGATTGCACCAACACTGGCTACATTTTGTTCAGATGTATCACTCAGTTGTGCTTTCAGCAAAAAAAAACATTCCTTTCATATTTTGATTCTCCTTTAGACAAGCCTATTCATATAACACATAAAGTAATCTGATTTTTTGCAATGTGTTCTTTTGCCTGAACATGGTTCCTAATAATGTAAAGGAACATTATACTGGAAAATATGGTCTTGTTGTGTACAATCTGTATTCACTGGTAATTTTGGAAGGAGCTCCTGGCAGCAACTGGGAGGTTCCATTCTGGGGAGCTCATGAGGCTTCTGCCTAATCCCCCTCCCACCAGTCAGGTGGTTTCTTCCTCTCTTCGCTTGACCAGGTACAGGCCTTTATGGCTGTGGACAAATGAAAATGGACTATTCATTTCAAGATTTCCTTTGACTGCAGTCTCACAGTCTTACAGACATATGTGCTGTTTAAAGAGGATTAGATAAAATACTATCTTTTATCTTGAAATATTAATTTTTCCTGATGCTTTAAAGATAGGGCATATAGGGGATCTGATTTTAATCTGCTCACTAATTAGCTCTGCCAAAATAAAGAACATGTCTATAATTCTCTTTTTTAAAAAATTTTATTTATTTATTTTTTGCCACAAAACAAGTCTTAATACATTTTAACGGACTAAAATCATAGAAAATATGTTCTCTGACCACAATAACAGAAGGAAATTTAGAAAATTCACACATATGTGGAAATTAAGCAACACTCTCCTAAATAAACAATGAGTAAAAAGAAAAATCACAGGGAAGCTAGAGTACTTTGAGATAAAAATCAAAGCACAACACATCAAAATTTATAGGATGCAGGGCTCA